AAGCATGTTCTCCATTACCCACTGCAGTGCCTCCAACTCTGAATGCAATGCTGACTCCACTCTATCAAAATTACGCAGCCCCATTAACTGTTCATTTCCCGAGCTATCATTCCAGACCCAACCACATCCACTAAAATGACCAGTAGAAGTCCAGGATCCATCCACCATACATATATTATCCAGACTTATGGCTTGGTTTTCCTCAACTACGTTACCTAGGGATGACGGTGTATCCTGCTCGTTTGCTCGGAACCAGGCTTGGCACTCACTTTCCGCATACCGCGCTAGCTCCAAAGGGTCTTTATCAATACCTCTGAACAGCTTGTCATTCTGAGCCTTCCAAATACACCAAATTAGCCAGGGATAAAGATCCCTGTCCAATTTCGGTTCCATTATAGAATTCTTCCTCCAGAAGAGATAATCCATGTTCGCATATGTGCTCCGAAGCGGAAACAAAGAAGGATTGGTAGGCGTGGATGATAAAGCCCACACTTGCAATGCCGGTGGACATTCGAAGATTACATGTGTAAGAAATTAGAAAAAACACATTTATGTAAAGTACATGTAAATAAATTTTAAATACATTTATGTAAAGTATAAACATAATGTTTTGGGTTAAGAGTTAAAACTTAACATTAGATTTGAAGTTAAGTCATAGAAAATATTATAGTTTCAGATTTTTAGTAAGAGTTTAGGGTATATGATTAGTTTAAGATAAGTTTTTAAGTTTAGAGATTAGAATAGAGGTTTGAGTATAGAACTTGAAGGTTAGAGGTTATAGGTATTGATATTAAGATTTGAGATTAATTTTTGATAATATTAGTTTTGAATTTATATTTAAGATTTGATGTTAAACTATTAATTATAGTTTAAAGTTTTTGTTTAGAGTGTAAGGTTTTGTTTTAAAATTTTGTTGTTGGGGTAAAGGGTTTAGGGTTTAGAATTTTTGGAGGTAAATAAAATAGAGTGAAAGGAAAAGTAAAACAACGATGAGAGGGAAAATCAATTATTTTCCCGCTTCAGTCTTGCATAGCGTTTCAAATTAAAAATTGGATCAACTGATCATAGTGTTCATATTTTTGCAACGCTATCTAAAACTAAGGGGTATGTCAACGCTAGCAGAAAGAAAAAAAACATTATCTACGACTGCTATTAAAACCAAATTTCTTGTAATGTCTGAACTATGCTGCTCCGTTTGTCACTCAAGATACGTGGAGGAAGACGGCAAGAAAGACTCGTGGAAGGAGACGATGACGACAAAGGTGGCTGGATGCGACGAATAGGCCTCATCTCTTCAACTTGACTCTCAAATCCCACAACGAAGAAGAATAATCATGGTTGGATGAGACGGCGAAGGGCATAGAAGAAGACGGCGACGAAGGTGATGGTGCGGTGGGTGAGGATCGGAAGATGAAGAAGACGATGTAGGTGGTGGTGTGCGGCGGCATACGTTTGTTAATTACTAATTAGGTTTAAGTTTGATTTATGTTTTTGGTTTAGGTTTGGTTAGTATCTTTTTATCTAATTAGATTTATTTTTTAATTTGTAAACCAATTAACTGTATATAAATACAGCAATATTAAATTTTAATTATGTTTTCATTTTAAAATAATTAAACTAAAAAATAAAATAAAAGAATTTAATGAAAATAATAACAAAAAACACATGCAATTAAAAATATTTAATTGCATGCTAGAAAATGTTATAATATATAACAACAAGATAGCAACGGAAAAAACCACTATATAATGTGTGTGACCTATGACAGACGATGATATATCACTTCGTAAACCGCTATCGTATCGTTAGATAGCGTTTTTCGTCCGTTAATAAAATCATTTTTTTTCTTGTATTGCATGATCTATGATAAAACTCTCTTCATCTTCATAATGCCAAAAGTTGGATCTCCATGAATTTCTCTCCACTTTTCGCAGAGATTATTATCAGATGAAATAAACGTATTTTCATCCATAGGATAGGAAAAGCACCCAAACAACATGGCATATAAAAAAAACATAAACAAATTTTGATTACGAAACCAAAACACCATCTCTGATACCACGTGATTTAGTGGAAGCTACAATAACACAAAGATCTTATTGAGTTATCAAGACCAATATCTTCTTAAATTTGTTAAGATCTTTATAGATCTACCAAAAATAAGGAACAAAGATGCAAAACTCTTAACTTTTATTAATCAAATCATAAACTACACAAAACAATAGCCTAAAAAACTATATATATGAAAGCATAAAAATCCTAAAACATTAAAAATAATTTTCTTAATAATAAATAAAAAACTAAATAATTAATATATGTATTCTAAATATCCTCTCTGCATTATTGTTCCTGTAGGGATGAATTAAATGCCTTGTTGTCTCTGGCTCCAGATCATTTGTCATTTGTAACATAATATCAATCTAAAATAAAAATGAAAACCTAAGACAAAAGAATTTAAATAGACATTTGATCAAATCCTAAGAAATAGACCTCTCTCTATAAGAAAAAAGGAGAGAAGACATTTGTTCAATCATAAAGCAACAAAATAGACGAGCGTTCTACTTCTCTTATTCAGTCTTTTTATTATTCTTTATACATTCATCAAAAAGGAAAAAAAAAATAGTAGCACTTGATGTTACATAAACTTTTGACTGAAAAAATTGCAAACAAAAAGTTAAATATTTATGGGACAATTTGCTCAATATACAAATTACTAATAGAAATGAAGAATATACCTTTGATTTTGACGTAATTCATTGTCTAACATTAAGTCCAATATTGGTCCGGTTTTACCCTTTATTCCTGCAAGTAACTGGTTACATAGAAAGAGAAAAGAGGATGTGTATGATTTTTGTGGTATGGACAACAGTAACTCTGCACTATTTATCCTCACTTGTAAAGAGGCGACGTTGCCAAAGTATTTACCGTAAAAAATTTATTGTACACAGTAAACGTCTGGATAAATATATATACATTACTATTCCATTTATATTTAGATGATATTCCATTTCTGTTTACCAAATGCAGATAAACTGCACATAATTACCATAAAGAGGAATAAAATGAAAAATTAAGTCATTCTCATTTCCATTCACCTATGTGCAATACAATATATTCTATATAGAAATCTAATAAGATTGAAGTTCATAAGTTTACTAAACAAAAGGAAAAAATAAACATTGAGTGGTTGTTATTTAATCTTACGAACATACATCAAGAAATTAGTTTAAACGAAAATAGTAAAAATGGGTGTAAGAGATCTTTCATATTACAAAACAATAAACAAGAACACATAAGCTTGCTCCTCTTCGTCGTTCGTTGCAGCCATGTGACACATCTACAGTTTCAGTTCCGTAGTTCTCATCTACTAACCAAACATGGGCTTCGGTTAAAGATACACAACTGAAGACCTTCCCAAAGACGTGCAATTCTAGAAACACAAGTGCCACATAGAAACCTATACACTATTCAAATCATGATAGTTGTATACAATATGGATGTTATATATATATATATATATATATATGCTTCATGTCCATACTATCTATCTACAATCTGTACTAGTTTTACTTCTACAAAATGTTAAATTGATATAGGATATAATATTTATAAGTAAATCCAAAATAACATAGCAATGAAATGACATACATAAATAATAGAAAGAACGCTAATGTAAGAACATAAACACATATGGAAATACAAAAACAAACACACGCCAACATTTAGAAATACATATGCAATGGTGTTATACTATGAAATTAAAAGGATGTACTATGTTGTGGGCAAAGAATAGAAACAACAATACTAGACAAACTAAAACAACTACAGATCCATATTATTTAATTATAGACTGTACTATTTCCACATCCACTATATCTCAAAAGCAATGTATGATATTATATTTACAAAAAAAAATCCAACATACCATAACCCCTAATACTAAATCATAAATCTTAATCAGTAAACTCAAATATAGACCAATAAACCTAAATATATTGGAACAAAATATATAGTATAGTATATATTGGTGAACAAATAGAATAATCTTTATTAATTGTCAAATGGAACTATACAAATAATGGAGAAACGAGGGTGAGTTAGTGAAACTCCCACCCAGAAGATAACACTAAACCCTAACTTGGAAATGTCAACTCACATCCAAGATATAAACAATTTATCTTTGCTGAAAAATATTGACATTTACCTGTTATTACATTTTTAAGAAGTAGTATAGAAATATGTACCAAATAGTATGGTAAACTCACATAAATAATAGACAGAACAATACTATAAGATCATAAACCCAACAAAAAAAAATCGCAAAGAATCACACACTAACATATGGAAATACACAGGCAATGATTGTATACCATGAAATCAGAAGTCTATACTATGGTATGGGCAAAGAATAGAAACAACAATACTAAACAAAATTAAATCCACAAACTTGTGGGTCTAGTTCTTGACAGAACACAATTTTGACATGCACTCTCATAAGAAGGCATAACTGGATAAGTTAAAAGAAACAAAATCACTAACCTCTTTCAAATTTACTCTGCTGCTAGGAGACGATGAAATCCTTACCTATCTCAGTGACAAGAGCCCAGAAATTTCACAACACATGCGACGGCAAAAGATGGGAGTAGATCTCGATTGACGATGCTCTAGAGACTGTCAAAACCTTTCCCTGAATACTTCACCGAATGCATAGTGGCTGTCAAGGTTTCTTATGGATCTGGATTAAACCAATTAACCTTTCCTAAAAGTAACTTGAACTGTTTGGTGAAGACGAAGAGGCCACGACTTGCAAGACAAAAATGTAAATAATAATTATTAATTTTTTTTTAAATTTGGTCAAGCCGGTTATATGTAGGGATAGAAAAGTATTATTACAGAAAATACACAGTGTATCCTAGCATTTTAGGTAAATGAGTCATTTAGTTAATTATAATTTTTTTTTGTGATATACAGTCCAATTTCCCAATATTTATTTTAACTCATTAAATTATATGGACCGACTTAGCAATAAAAGGGTAAAACTCAAACCTAAAAGTACAGCTCCTACTCACAAATCTCGCTCCTCGTCTAAAATTCAAGCAATCTTGAAAATGTACGCTATTAAACATCAAACATTCCTCACAAGCTTTTGTGTTTAAGTCTTTCGTACACTGCACCATTCCATACAACATATCATCCTTCAATTGCTTCTTCCCCGCATAGTACAGTGTCCTATTATCTCCAGTGGTGGCTAAAGTCGTCAGATTGTCCATGAAAGTAACCCAGGTTATTAAAAAATCCCATCCCAACTTCTTAGCGTTGAACATACAAAAATTATTGTCGTAATCGATCTGCCCAATAGAATATTTGGGAGAAATCGAGAGAAGACACTGATCATACCATATTATTTTCCCCTTGTACCACGGACATCTCCTACTAAGCTGTAATATACATATTAAATATCGGCGATATAATCAGTAACGGGATTGCACAAGACTAATTAACATATATAATCCAGTAGTTTTTTTGTCTGATGCTAAAATGTATCAAAAGCTGTGCACAGATTTATACAAATTAAAAAAGATTATCACTAATATTGATGTGATATTACCGCAGCAGCGGCGGTGGCAAAGCAGTCGCGGCACTTGGACCCGTAGGAGTCACCGCGGCACTGGAGGATAGCGGAAAAACTAGAAGAGCCTGACAGGGTGAAACCTTCTTTATTGTCACTGTGGATAGCCGAAAAACCAGTGGTAGAGCCCGACAGGGTGAAACCTTCTTTATTGCCACTCTCGAAATAGAAATTTTTGATGGTCAATTTTAACAGTTTCTCGTACTCACTTCCCGGCTTGTATTTTCCTTGACTAACCAAGCATTTGTGGTTGAGATACGCATTGGTCGTATTTAAGGACAATTCGCTGTTTATATGAAGTAGTTGTGTGGCCAAGACATGGATCAAAATGAGGCGTTTTAATACAGACGATAATGAGTACATTGTTTTGGATGGTTTTTCTCAAAGGGGTTTTTTTTATAGATGATTCGATGGGATTTTATGTTGTACGAGACTCTAGAGGGATTTGGATACTGAAGAGATATATGATGGTTATATATATATGCGTTATTCTTTTTGGTTAGCCAATACGAAATTTGTTTGAAAATGTCAGTTTGTAGAAAACAATGTTTACACTTTTTTTTTTCACAATGTTTACACTTGGGAAGGAGAAGAGGGAAGAGTCGAAGGCTGAGACTTATTTGGCGACAAGAGTGCCGAGAAAATTTGAAAGCTCAGAAGTGTGACTTAGTTCACGAGATTCGTACGGTGTGAACCTGAAATGAAGGAATTTATTTGTTAAATTATTATTACCAGATTCTTGTTTTTAGGCAACATCGGATAAATTCCAAAACAAGTACAAGTGTATATATATAACTACATTTTAAAACATGCTTATTCCGTGCACATATAATAAAAATGCATTAATATCAAATATTAAAAAAACAGATCGACAGAAACATTTAACTGAAATGAAGATGACTAGAGTTTATCCAGCAATTTCTTATTTGTTTTTGGCGGATGACAGCTTTTCCTTTTATAGGGCACAAGAAAATGTGTGCCAGATCATTCTCAGGATCCTGAAAGAATACGAGATTGTATCGAACCAATTAATTAATTTCCAAAAATTATTGATTCAATTTGGACATAAGATTAAGGAGTCTAATCGTCAGGAACTGAAGATTATCTTAGGAATACATAATTTAGGAGAAATGAGATCTTATTTAGGATTACCCGAGAGTCTTGGAGGATCTAAGGTACAAGTGTTTGGATTTGTTCAAGACCGGTTAAATAATAGGGATAACGAATGGACTTTCAAGTTCTTCACCAAGGGAAGAAAGGAGATAATAATTAAATCAGTGATCACGGCTTTGCCAAATCATGTGATGTCTTGTTACCGTATACCCAAGACAACCACGAAGAAGCTGACGGCGGAAATAGCACAATTTTGATGGAGTACAGGGAGAAGTACGAGAGAAATGCACTGGAAATCATGATAAATTATGTTTGGATAAGGATGAAGAAGGTTTAGGATTTAAAGACCTAAATGACTTTAATACGGCGATGTTGGGCAAGCAATTATGGCGTCTTATCAAGAAACCACACACTTTCTTTTCTCGAGTTTTCAAAATTCGGTATTTCAGGAATACTTCACCCCTGGATCCGATACGATCATACTGTCCGCAATATGGCTGGAGAAGTATAAATTATGCTAGATCTCTGGTTAGCAAAGGACTAATCAAAAGGGTGGGATCAGGATCATCTATTTATGTATGGAATGATCCATGGCTCCCAACCACTCGCCCGAGAACAGCAAACAAAAATCAACATGGCCTTTACCCGTCACTTATAGTGGATTCGCTTATAAACATAACGTAGCAAAGCTAGAATACACAGAAAATTCAGGCCTTGGTGGATCCTCAAGATGCGAAAATTATAGAAAGTATACTATTGAGTAGGACATTGATGGAGGATCGAGACAGATGGCATTTTACACATAACAGGAAATATACGGTTAGGTCGGGATACCAAGTGGAACATATTTATCCAGATAACGAAAGATCACCAGTAATGATGGGACCTACAGTTAACTCATTGAAGGCATATTTATGGAAGATATGATGCCCACCAAAGATAAAACACTATTTATGGCAGTTGACATCGGGATGTATAGCGGTCAAGAAAAACCTTAAAGCAAGAGGGATGCAAGGAGACATTTGATTCGTTAGGTGTGGAGCATAGTAGGAGTCAATTAATCATGTGTTCTTTGAATGCCGCCCCCCGGCACGTCAGGTTTGGGCATTATGAAAGATACCATCCAATTCAGATATTTTTTCTACCAGAGCCATGTTTACAAATATGGATCACCTATTTTGGGGTACTTCCAAAAATGGACGATTATCACTTTGCTTGGGTATTGTGGTGTTGGGGTCAAAATCGGTCACGACAAAATCAATAGCTAAAAGTCCCAAAAAAGCATACAAGAAAACTGTAGACTTTCTACGGACATCCAGAGTTACGGAAAACTCGTATTAAAGTATGAAATAATTAAAAAGACCTCATGATAGGGTCAAAAATGGTAATCTCGAAATCAACGTCTACGCTTACTTCTCCTTATGTTTTCCAAAAGGATCCCGGGTCGCTGAAACAAGAAACGACCGAGCTGAATAAGACCGTCCAGCTCGAAAAGACGGCGAGCTGGACCTACGGACCCAGCTCGCCAAGACGGCGAGCTAACCGTACAGACCTAGCTCAGCGGCTTGGCAAGCTGGACAAGACCGTCCAGCTTGCCAAGATGGCGAGCTGGCCGTACCGACCCAGCTACTGGCGTGGCAAGCTGGCCGTAACGACCTAGCTCGCTGGCTTAGCGAGCTGAACAAGACCATCCAACTTGCCAAGACTGCGAGCCAGCCGTACCGACCCAGCTCGACAAGACGTCGAGACAGCCGTACCTACCCAGCTTGCCGGCTTGGCAAGCTGGACAAGACCATCCATGTAAGACCCGATCCGGCCATCCAGGCCGCGGTCGAAGCCTCACGTCGCTCGTTCCTCTTCCGGACCGAACCTCTAAATTTTTTGCCCTTTATTTATAATATCGCCCATAGGCGAGGGCCAAATTAGATCTTAGCTTAAGACTATCTTAGTATTTCCTAGCTTAGATCATTTCTATTCTACGCAGCGGATTATGCTATATTAACCATTGGTCTAAAACCAATCTAACACTTGTCCAATCTAATAATCTATGCCTTGGTCAGTTCACTGAACTACCTTCCAGCTTATAGATCGATCCTTACATGGTACAAGTCATACAATTCCAGGGTTCCATTCCCCTAAACCATTCTAGCTAGATCTAAAAGAAAGTAGCTATATCATACCTTTGCCACATCCACGGAGCTTGTTAGCTCATCGGTCCAGCTGACTTAGTTAGCTCATCCTCTAGCTGGCTTAGCTAGCTCATACTCTTAGCTGATTTAGCTAGCTCATCCAGCTCTTTGAGCTGACACTTCTAAACTAGCAGAATCTGAGCTAGGGCCAGCTGTCTCAGCTCGTTTAGCTAGCTCATCCAGCTAGCTAAACTGTACCACCTCACTTGAGGTTCCACCACTCTCTTCCAGCTGATCGAGCTACAGGATAGCTGCGCCCAGCTCCCTGCCAACTCGTCCAGCTCTATTATACCTGCATAAACATCTCCCCTTGGGTACTTAGTCATTCAACCAACCATCCCCACTGACCAAGTAACCTTTGGGAAGTCTTCAACAGCAATGGTAATGCATCTAGCTCCTCTCCGCTAATGCATCACCCATCTCCTCACGATTGTAGCATAAGATAGCAAGTCCCTCTCCTGGACTAACCTGTGCATCCTTTGATCAAACAGAGCAGACACCTTGATCTATCATCCATGGATCAGGTCGTTGCCCTTTACTCATGATCAGATCACACACAGTCTTCCCTGCATAATAACAACTAGATCCATATTTGTGGTCCACGCCACCCAGTACCAGCCTTAACCTCAGGTACCAGTATGACAACAATCAAACATCCTCTAAGACCACACAAGCACAATAATTACATATTAATCCGATAACCTAGCACAGGTTCTAACAATTTCATGATTCCGAGCCTGAGGCTATGTTCCTACCCAATTTTGGTCAAACTGAAAAGTGCTCCAAAAATTAATGTTAAGCTTTGTAAATTACCCAAAAATATAACAAACACGAATCCAAGGTCAGAATTCACAGGAAAAATCACTAACCTTATGATCTAACCCAAAACAGCCCTAGGCATAAATATGGTTTTTGAGCAAATCAACTCCAAATCGTGCCTAGTCTTTTCCAATAATTCTTAAATATTCTAAAACATCTATCCTCAAAATTTCAAGCCATTTTATTCAGTAAAAAGTGGTTTTGGATCAGTAAACCCAAATCTGGCCTAAAACAGCCTCATTGAACCGACACTTATGTACGGTTCATGGGAAGGTCTTTCTGATCACCAAACTTGAAACTAATTATCAGGAGAGAAATATATTTATATATATAAAGAGAAATGGGTGTATCCAGAGTTCCCAGAAACCATAAACCGCATGGATTCACCAATGGGTTCATGCCCTTGGCTTAAATGGTTCAACAACACTAACTTTAGATCTTGTGCCTTCCAGTATCAAGTCTGGCCATGATCCTCCAAGACACGCCTCCATCAAGTCTTATCACATACCTCCTGTAGTGATAAGATATCTTCATGGGTCGCACCAATGGTTCCTTCCATTGATCTCCCATAAAACCGGTTCTGCAGTGCCTTTACCTTTAAGGCTGTTCTTGTAAATGAGAAAGGATTCTGGCCTTCTCTCTTCTCCCCTTACTCTTTGCGTGTGTTCACAAGATGAATAGGAAACCTAGGATGTGTTCATTCAGGATAACATACCACCACAGGGTCGTTCATAACTTCCTTTTCACTCCAATGAAACTGCTTTTCTACACACATCTGCCCTTAAGGCTGTCTTGGCCTTTAGGAATGAATTCCGGTCATCTCCCTTATGTTCTCACCATTTGCGTGTGTTCTCAGGCCGTGGAGGATGCTTTGGGTGATAACATCACAGGTCAAAAGCCACCAGAAAGTAGTTCTCCACTTCTCTCTTGATCTGCCCCAAAACTGCCTATTTATGGCCTTCACACCACCATGAATCTTGGATAGGGAATTCGACCATCTCTCTGTTTTCTCTGGGTGTTTCTTTGTGTTTCAGGGTTTAGGAGGAAGCCCTGGCTTGCCCGCAAACCCACGGAACCATCCTCCTTTTATAGAAGAAGGGGTGGTTACTTTTCTAACCATTGCATCCTTTCGGTTTCATTTCTGTCCATTGATTTAATTAATGGTCCAGATCACACCCATTCGCCTAAGACAGTTACCAGATGTCCTGGGCCTGATAAACAACTCCTGGACATGTCTAAAAC